CTGGTTGTTCTTGCAGAAGACCTGGGTTTGAATCCCAGCACCCACATGGCAGCTAACAACTGTCTGTAACTCCAGTCTCAGGGGATCCAACAGCCCCTTCTGACCACTGCGGGCATTGCAAGACACAGGTGCACTTACCTACATGCAGGCAATACATGCATACACATAAAATAAAAATAATGAATAAAATATTTTTTTACATCCCAGTAAGATTTTATAGATCTAGACACATTTATTTTAAATGTGTAGAAAGACAAAGGAAGTAGCAGTGAAGAACTAGGCAGGAAGGCTCAGCTTAACTAGTTTGTCATTCTGTAGCTACCATAATGAAGGTTGGAGGGTGTCGGCAGGAAGGAAGATACAATGAAACAGAGACCCCAGAAAGAGGTCTACACAAATATGCCAGTATTGGCAAGATGAAGAAGCCATCCAAGGTGGAAAAGATAGCCTGTTCAGTAAAGGGAATCAGAACTGGATAGACTAGACTACAAACCGTGGACTCACCTAAGTGTCACACTTTATTCAAAAATTAACTCACTGCATCACTAAGCTAAATGTAAAACTTAAACCATAAATCTTTTAGGAAAATAAAAACATAGGAAATTATCCTCAGGATCTAGATCTATATAAATAGTTCTTAAACTTTATATAAAAAGCATAATCTATAAAAGGAAAAATTGAAAAACTGGATGTTATCAAAGTTAAGCACTTAGGTCTGTGAAAAGCCCTACTAAGAAGACAAAAAAGAAACCTACAGGCTTTGCATTTGCATTTGCAAAGCATACATCCAACAAAGAACTGGTATCTAGAATAGCTCATAAGATTCATTAATAAAATGGGCAGTCCATGCAGGGCTTTCATGCCACTGACATGTACACTGCAAGCAGACAAATTGCCTCATCAAGGTGACTTGGTGGACCCTGGAGATGATCGAGCCCTGCACGCTGCAATACAAGTTCCTGGAGCCAGTTCTGCCTCTGGGCAAGGACATTCAGGTCCCTGTGAAGGTGGAGTCATGTGGCCCAGATTTATGCTACTCAACTGTCCATTCCCAAAGCCCTGGTGGCCCATTACAAGAAACACATGACTGAGGCTTAGAAGGAGATCAAAGACACCTCCATCCAGGATGAACAGCCCCCTCTGGTAGCTGATCCCCCTCACTGCATGTCCAAAGTGGATGCGCTGGTTCCCACCAGTGCTCACTACCAGAAATCCTACCAATAAGCCCATTATGTTTGAACAATACAGTGTGAGATTTTAATGGTTAAAAAAGAAGGAAAGGAGGGAGGGAGGGAGGGAGGGAGGGAGGGAGAAGGAAGGACCGATCAATGGTAAAATAAATGATCCAATTAGAAAAAGTCCAAATGGAGTATGGTGCTGGCACTCAAGCTTCCAGCTTGCATTCATCCCTCCATAGCAGAGTGAACCCCAACTGTAGCTGTAACCATTCAATCTCAGTCATGGGCTCAGGAGTCCTTCAGAGAGGTGACTTGGTCCTTGCCTACTGGAAGCCTCCCTTCTCTAATGGGAAATCATTTCTCTGTCAGCTCAGATTTCTCCCCTTTCCCTTCTGTTATTCAAAAAAAAAAATTTTTTTTTTTTTTGGTTTTTTTGAGACAGGGTCTCCCTGTAGCCCTAGCAGTCCTGGAACTTGCTATGTAGACCAGGCTGGACTCACAGACATCCACCTGCCTCTGCCTCCTGAATGCTGAATTAAAGGCATGTGCAACCACATTCTGCTCTTATCCAAACTTTTTTTGAAGGGAATTTGCCATGTTCCGCTTGTGCGATAATTATGTTTTCTTGTCTACTTGATTGTCAGGTCCCTGAAGCCAAGATGCAAGCCTTCTTAAGTCTCAGTTTTCCCGCTTTCACCAGGGAGCCTTAACTGGAAAAGGGTTTTGCACAGCATCTGTCAAATGTGTTACTGGATGCTTTTAGGATTCTGCTATAAAATAAGCAGGCCTAAGGAACTTTATGAAGTTACCACCCAAAGAAGTAACCATGCCTCTAAAAGGAGGAAGAATGGATGTGGAAAGCATTGACCCCTTCAGTGAGATGGAATATATTACTGTGGGTGATACCATGTCATTGACCCTCTAATGAGGCAGTAAAGCAAAAACAGGCAGATGCTACCTGAAGAATCCAAAGAAATATCAGTTTATTCTCAGTTGACAAGGATCTTTAAAGGTAAAACTTATGTAAACCTGAATCAAGGGAAGGAAGGGCATATGACAAAACAAACTGAGACAAAGCCTTCATCCCTAGTAGCCAGAGAAAAAGGAAGTGAACCAGGAAGCTACTGTAGAATGGTAGGTGGTCCCATCCCACATTCCAGTGTGCAACCCAAACCCCAGGATAAATGTGAGCTCCCAACACAAGAAGAAAGAAGCTAGATATGGCTCCACGGATGTTACCATAGGTAATTAGCAGTTTTCACACTGCCCATTTCTATGATGCAGCAAAACTAAATTTTAAGAAAGACAATGAAACACACCACCGATTCCTCAAAGGGTCGCCTTTCAAGTTAAATCTCTACCCAAGAGAACATTTTGATACTAATCCCTATGTCATGAAGAAACCTTTTACCCCCCAATTTAAGATGAAGAGCAGAAGGTCTGGAGAAACGGCTGAGCAGTTAACAATGCTGACTGCTTTTGCAAAGGACCTGGGTTTTGTTCTCAGCACCCGCATGATCGCTAACAGCCTTCCCTAAGTCTAGTTTCAGGGTATCTAATGGGGATCTGATTCCCTCTTCTGGCCTCCACAGGCACTGCACATATGTGGTACACTTAAATACATTCAAGCAAAACCCTCACACACATTTTTTAAAAGAAGAAATTACTGTCGGTGCTGTTTTAGCTCTCATCTGGCAACAAGGCACTGAACCTGAAGAGCTGTGAGATGGCCTCAGCACAGCTACAGAAGGCAATTTGTTTTCTAGATCCTGACAACCAGTAGTTCATTAGAATACAAAATGTTACGGGATGGATAATTCCCATAAGCATTAAAAATATTAAAAGAAATTCAAACCTGCAACTCTAATGTTCTTTCTGGTTTTGGTACTATTATTTTTATTCCTATTATTCGCTAAGAATTTTTTTTAATTTAATGCTCAAATAACATGAGTTGCTGTTTCAACAAAGAAGATATACGTGTGGTTAATGGCCAGGTGAGAGTCAACAGCATCAAGGAAAGTAAGATGCTAATGCATGAAAGAAATAAAATGTAATGGGGGAGAGAAAATGACATTTGGCCCATAAATTTCATACCTAGGCATTTACTACAACGAAATAAAGACATGTGTTCCCACTGCGACCTGAACCAGAATGTTAGAGCAACTTTATCAAAATCTGAAACAACCCAGATATTCCACAGTAGTTGAACAACTAAACAAACCATGGTTCACCCATGTCCTGGAATACTACTCTGCAATAAAAAGGAACACACCATTGAAAAATACAACCATAATACCATATGAGACCTGAAGAATCTCCAAAGAATTCTGATTAGGAACAAAAAGCCAATTACCAAAGGTTATAGACAGTGATTCCACTTACATGACACTCTTCAAATCGTGAGAACAAGGAATAAAAACTCTTAATGGTTGCCGAAGAATGAAGAGAGGGTTATCATGAGGATTTTTGTGGCGACAGACATGTTCTGTGGCTTGACTGTGTGAATGTCCGTATTGGGACCATGAAATTGTGCTGTAGTTTTGTAACGTGATCCCATTAAAGGAAAATTGTTCTGTTTCCATTCTTACAACTGCATATGAATCTAATTTTGTCTCAGAGTGAAAATCTGAGCCTTTAAAATGTATCTTGTAGGTCATTTCTTAACTCAGTGATTTAAAAGCATGTCATCCTTACTTGTATGCTGTGCTCTGTCTTCAAACTCTCCAACCCTTGTTCTTTTTCCAACTAGTCTATGGTAGGCACATGGGTAGACAGGTGGGTGAGTAGATAGCTTAGACCGTGCAATTACAGATTTGTTTTCCAGGAAAAGCATGGTAGGACACGTCAGAACGTGTATTCACTGTTGGGTTTTCTGGTGTTTCAATGCCCTCATCTGCAGCAACATTCATAGCAGTTCATATTCTGTCTCATCTCCAGGGAAGCCACTAGTGAAAACATCAAGAATGACTGTGGTCAACACAGAGAAGCCTGCAGTCACAGTGGATATTGGTGGTACCATCAGAACAGTGCGTGGAGTGAATGTGACCATTAACTGCCAAGTGGCGGGTGAGAAATTCATTCCTGAGTTCATTTGTACTGATGGAGCTTTGCGCAAGGTTGGGAGATGGAAATACAAATCAGATATAAATTCTCCTCTCAGGGATTGGGTGCTAGGAGGAAAGCTGAGCATGAACCTAAGTCAGAAAGTGCAAGTGCATTGGAAATTTAAAGGAGGAAAAGTTAATTCTGCCCAAGGCAGATGGGCTGAAAGAGACATTGAGGTTTTTCATTATTTTTGTTAGACAAATCACAGTTGTATACATTTATGGGGTATAGTGTGAGCTATGTAGTGTAGAATGATTAAATCAAGCTAATTAACATATTCATTATTTACTTATTTACCCACTGAAGCATTTTTGGTTTTCTTTGTTTGTTCTTTTGGGGCAGTCCTGTTGTATAGAGGGGGCTGGCTTAAAGTTCACTGTGTAGCTCAAATTGGTTTCAAACCCACATCTTTCTGCAGCAGCTTCCCAAGTGCAAAGATTACAGCTGTGTGCTATCATGCTAGGCTGCTTTGTTCTGGTTTGTTTGTTTCCTTGCTTGCGTTGTTCTGTTTTTTTAATCTTGGTTTTCTATACTGACAGACTATGATCATTCAAAGATGGGGCAAGGGTGTTCCAGGTAGTCAAAAGAGTGTGGAAAATTTCCTAGAAGCGGGAAAACCTTAGACTGTACCTGGAAGAGTGTGATGTTTAATCTGGGTGTGGGGGCCTTACATCTTCATAAAGTGCATGGTGAATGGACCACAAGACACTTTGGATGCCTGACCAAGGAGCAGAGTCAAAGGCAGATAGAAAACCACGCATTTCTCTGGGTTGGAGAAATTGCTCAGAGGGTAAAAGCACTTGCTATGCGAGCAAAAGGACCTGAGTTTGAATCCCAAGCACCCATATAAAAAACAGGCATGGCTGTATGTGCCTATAAGCATAGCATTGGGAGACAGACAGTTGGATCTAGGAGTTCATTAGCCAACCTAGCAAAAATGGAGAGCTTCAGGTTTAGTGAGAGACCCTGTCTCAAAAGTAAGGTGGAGAGCAATACAGGAAGATACCCAATGGCCCTCTTCTGGCTTCTGCATGTGTGCACCGGGTACACACACACACACACACACACACACACACACACACACGCGCAATACAATTTCTTTCTTGAGTGTCTTAAAGTTAAAAGCAAAATCAAGAAAGAAATTGAGGAAGACACTAGGAAATGGAATGGCCTCCCATACTCACAGATTAGAAGAATTATTGTGAAAATGGCCATCCTACCAAAAGCAATCTACAAATTCAGTACAATCCCAATCAAAATTATGGGGCCATTTTTTATAAAAATAGAAAAAAATCTTAGCATTTACATGGATGCACAAAAGACCAAAGATAGCAAAATAATCCTAAATGAGAAGAACACTTCTAGAAGTATCACCATATCTGATTTCAGTCTATGCTATACTACCGAGCATAATAAAAACAGCATGGTACTGGCACAAAAACATACACTGATTGACCAATGGAATAGAATTGGGAACCCAAACACCTACAGTCACCTGATTTTTTTTTTTTTTACGAAGATGCCAAAAATGTGCATTGGAGAAAGATGGCCTCTTCAAGAAACAGTACTGGAAAAACTGGATATCAACATGTAAAAGAACGGAACTAGACAATTGTTTCTCACCCTGCACAAAATTCAAATCCAAATGGATCAAGGACCTCAACGTAAGACCAGATACTTTGAAACCACTGGAGGAAAAAGTAGGGAGTACACTTCAACATTATAGGCAGAAGCCAAGGACTTTCTGAGTAGGATTCTGATAGTGCAGGAGATGATACCAACAATTGAAAAATAGGATCTCATGAAGCCAAAAAGCCTCTGTATAGTGAAAGAAACTATAAATCCCATGAAGAGGTAGCCACATGTTTACCAGCTATTCCTCTGAGGATTAGTACTACAGTACACAAAGAAATAAAAAACTACACATCAAGAAAGCAACCCAATAAAAAAAATGGGCCATGGATCTGAGCAGAGAGTTCTCAAAACTAAAACTACAGATGCCTAATAAACACTTTAAAAAGTGTTCCACATTATTAGCCATGGGGGAAATGCAAATTAAAACTGCTTTGAGCTCCTAACTCACCCCAGTCAGAATGACTATCATCAAGAAATCAAATGACACCAAATCCCGGTAAAGATGTGGGGAAAGGGGGTGTAGCCACTATGGAAATCAGGGTGGAGGTTTTTCAAAGAACTAGAAGCAGAACTACCATATAGCCCAGTTATACCACCCCTGGGCATATACTCAAAGGACGGTTTGTCTTACTACAGAGATTCTTGCTCAACCATATACATTGCTGATGTATTCACAAAAGCCAGGAAATGAAATGAGTCTAGGTGTCTATGTGGCACATATACACAATGGAGTTTTCTTCCACTGTAAAGAAAAATTAAGTTGTAAATTTTTCAGATAATGGATGGAACTAGAAAAATTATACTGAGCAAGGTAACCCAGGCTCAGAAAGATAAATGTCATATGTTTCTTTCATATGTAGATCCCAGCTTTAGAGCTTCAGATTCATGTGTTTAACCTGGTGTACCTGTCAGAATAAGGAAACCAAAAAAGGGACCACTGGGTGAGAGATGCCTTATAGGAGAGAGGATGGCAGAATGTGGGTGATATGAAAACAGAAAGGGGAAATTGGGTGATGGAATGCTTAAGCAAGGACGGGGTGGCAGCTGTGGGAGACAAGAGGGGAGGGAAGGGGGTTAGTCATACTACTTTTACTTTGTAAGCCAATTTAAATAGATAAATTGAGGGGCTAGAGAGATGGCTCAGAAGTTAAGAGCACTTGCTACTCTTGTAAAGGACCCAAGTTCAGTTCTTAATACCCACATGGTGGCTAACAACTATCAGTGACTCCAGTTCTAGGAAATCCAACACCCTTTTCTGGCCTCCATGGACACAAAGGCACACATATTGTATACACACATACATGCAGGAAAACACTCATATACATAAAATAAAAATAAATCTTTATATACACATACACACACACATATATATATATAGAGAGAGAGAGAGAGAGAGAATGAGAATGAATGAATGAATGAATGAATGAATGAATGAATGAATGAATGAATTATAGGGGAGCATTTCTGGTAATGCTGTTGCTGAATGCCAAGAGTTACTAAAACAACAAAAAAGAAAACCCAGTGCCAGATGTGCAATACCTCCTTACAAGTTGTTGGTCAGGGAGGCCTGGAGGCCCCCAGAACAACGCAGCTCTTGCCATTCTTCATGACTGCCCACAAGAACAGCTGATAGGACCCTATTGCTGAAAACAGCACACACCTTGGTCACAAGATGCACAGAAATTAAGCTGAAACTCACCTAGAAGCATGCTCCTTCATACTGCTAGAAAATGCTATCTTGGCTGCTGAGGGAGAAAAGTTTTTCCTAATTATGAACCTGATGGTTCATAATACATAGCAACCTGTCAGACAAGATGTGCCCACTTGTGCAATAATGGCACAGTTGTTGTGGGGTAACAAACTAATTTCTAATGGGATTAGAGACCCCATCCACAAGAGAGAATTCATACCTAAGACTGTAAACTCAGTCAAATACCAATAGCTGAGGAGGACTTGGGCTGTAGGGGTGAACTTACTACTGTTGTTTAGCTAAATTGCCACGGCACCAAGCTGGATTCTAAATATTTGTGTTTATGCCCATAGAAAAATGCTAGCTCCAGTCAGAGGAGCTGAGACTAAGTGATGGCTGGATGCTTAGCCCTAAACAGGCAATTTATACCAGCCCTCTTCTAATGCTCAGGGATAGTGCAGGAAGGAGGGTGGAAAGAATATAAGAGCCAGAACATAGGGTGATGGGCTATGATACCGTCTTCTGGGCATAGAATAGCAATGTAGTCATGTCCTCACAGCAGCTGTGGCTGCCTATAACAGGCTTACATGAGCCACGCCCATCAGCAGTCAATCATGGATCAAGGAAGGTCTCACAGGGCCCTACCCCCTCCAGCCTGAACTATTGACTACTGATGGATTCTGAGGGAGGAATACATTGTCTTCAGCTGTGTGTCCCTGAGGAGTTCACCAGGCTCCCAGGATAGTTCCGAACCTCAGGTCACAGAGATAATCCTGGTTAACCTCGGTGGATCTCAAAAAGCCAACTAAACAAAAAGAGATCAATGCCAAAAAGGGGTTATTGGAGGAGGGTAATAGAGATTAAAAGGAAATAGAGAGGGTGGTTACTGTGATCATAATGTACTTTATGCATGTATAAAATTGTCAAAGAACAAATTCAATAAAAACAGGCTGGCCTCGATCTCACAAAGATCCACCCACCTCTGCCTCCCGAGTGCTGGGATTAGAGGCATGCACCACCACGCTTGACATAAAATTTATTTTTAATAAAAGAAACAAACCAACCATGCTTTCTGGAAGGCATCATTGTGGTTCCGAGGGGAAGGGACTGGGAATGAACTCCAGACAGTGATGGTGAAAACACCTGAGAAAGGGCAGAGGCAAGACCAAGGACATCTGCAGCCCATTCAAAGCTCAAAGGTGTGGGAGTCATTAAAGACAGCTGGTGCTGATAGGGCTAGTGATACAGACATTGTCCTACAGTAGGCCTTGCAGGGATCAACAAAACACAGGGAGTCTCAAGAAAGTGAGGAATGGGGCAATAGATACAGAAATTCTGAGTAATTTGTCCCACCGTGAATCAAGGAATAAACGGTTCTTGTGTCAGTGGGCAGCTCCAGTCTCCTGATGTCTATTCTCATCAGACACACCCTTCTATGACATATCCATACCCAACTTGGGGTCCCCAATTATGCCCTGTCTGCAGAATGAACAAGCAATAAGATAGTCTGCTTTGAGAGTGTCTTCCTCTTAGAAGGTCTACCTGGATTTGCACTTCATAATGTCAGAAAGGAGGACAAACAGCTTTACCCTAAGGCATACATTTTCCAAGGGAGAGCCAGAGCTGATTTTTCTCT